TTATTCTAAAGTTTATTATTTTTAAATATTTAAGGGCGAATGTTCACTACTTGGATTATCAGATATTGAAATGTCCAGAGATATAATCTAAATGCTTGGACTCGTCTAATTTTCAAGCGATAATTCTAAGATAATTTAATCTGCTTGAAAAGGTATAGCCTAATCTATTTATTCTTATTCTAATTCTTAATCAATGGGATGTATATTATCAGATAATTAATCAAGCTATTCATTAATTGAACTTACTTCATTAGAATTTCTTACACAAACCTAATCCTTTAAAATATAATCTTTATCCTCTTTAATGCAAGATTTAATATCATCATAATTACTATCATCAATATCATCTAGATTAATGATTTATTTCTCATTAGAGAGAATAGAACCATCTTTGCATTAAATGGAGATTTAGAGGGGTTGACTTAAGTTTTCCTCCTTTTAATCTATCTGAGATTATTCTAATTAAATAAGCTCCTTCACTTCTTCTATTTCTTGAACATTTTCCTGGTTGGAATTTAAAGTTTTAATGCAGTTCCAATCTTCATTAATTAATTAGAGAATTTCTTCATATCTTTATATTGTATCAACATCGCAAGATTTAGGCTAACTTTAAATCTAAGCTCTATTATACTACCTTTGCTCATTTGCTATTTTTCTATTTACAATTCCATCTTACTTTTCTTTATTAGATTTAGGATTGGGGTTATTTGGAGAAATTTATTTAAAATTTTCAATGATTTTGCTTTAATACTACTATCTATAATAAGATTTGTTTACTTTTAACTAGTTGATTTCTTCAAATACTCCTTATTGGAAATGATTGACTCTAAGCAGAAGGAGATAGTTAAAATTCATATTTTTCTCATGAACCCATTCTAATGATTCTAGTTCCTAAATTCCATCATAGTTTGGTTAGTAATAAACAAGATTTTATTTTTATTGGAATGGATAGTAAGTTCTGAATCTCTCTTCTATAAGTTTTGTATCTTGGGGATCTGTAAACATAGATTAGTTTTTAGAGTATTTTAGGACCAAAGTATTTGATAACTCATAGATATCACTCACACTGTCATATATACTGATTTACTTTTCCATGAGTGTGAATATATTTAAATGCCCAACAGGACTTTCAAGTATATCAAAATCAAAGTTCTCATATTTAGAGAAGCATTTATTTCCTTTTTCATTATCATATTTCAACCCTACTAGAGATATCAAATCTTTCTTTTATAAAACTATACAAGTTATCAGTATTGAATTACCTTAGAGATATATCGAAAAGCTTTCTTGGTTCAAGTTCTCATAATCAATCATAAATTACTCTTTAGTAAATACATTCCTAATTTTTACTCTCTACCGCCTAAAAAATTTTAATAATTTGAATCTTACAATTTATCAAACTTTGGAAGATTACCCATCTCAATTACATCTATATAGTTCATTCCAATTTAATGAGAATTTTTATAAGCATCTATTATGAGTCCTTCAATAAGGTTCTAATTCAATCTTTAAAGATTATTACTTGCACCTTAGTCTTGATTGTAAAGATCATACTCATCCATTGCTATTTATAGAGATTAATATTATTCTGTCATTTAGATCTTTCAATTCTGATCTGCATTCATTTGCTAATTTTTAAATAAATCCTAAGGATTTGAAGCTACTTCATCGTAATTTAAGACATTTTATCTACTCTTATGTTTCAACTCAGTTTTTGGGAAATTGAAACATTTATTTTATAGGAATCAATTGATACTTATTCGGAAATTCTAATTGAAAGGCAAATTATTAGTTGATTATTATAAAATCTCTTCATGATACCTTTTTAGTTCCTTAGTGATATTTTGCATAGTCTAAGAAACATTGATTCTATCTATAGTCCCTCGAATAATATTCCCATAATTTTGATGATTATTGACAAAAGAGTTATTAACATCGGAAGAATGCTCCTCATGATTGTTCTAGTATTCTTCTAAAATTGATTATTGTGTTCCTTCGAATTCTTATTCTGAGTCAAGATTTTAGTTAAGAAATAGCATTATAATTATTAATATATTAATTATTAAGTCACTTAAGAATCTTCCTTTTATACACTTGTGGGGTTTTGGGGTTTTGGGG